TTTCCCCCGAATGTGACCTACCAAATAAGGCTTATCAATGAGTTTATACTTACATGAGCAACACGACGGGTGCCACATGTGGAGCAGGATCTGCTTACCCTTCCGGAGCACCTGAGATTACTGATATGTACATATGTACGTTATTTGTGTTGGTCTTTTTCTTTTTTATTTATGGCATTGTCAGTTAATGTATCGACTTTGAATGTCCCTTTGATATCTTTCGCCTCTCTTGTACTACTTTCTGACTGGGCCCAATTTTAATAGTGGTTTAAGTATAATAGGGTCTAATTAAAAAATACTGATGTTTGGAAAAGTTGCCACACCAGTAGTTTAAAGTACAAGATACAATGAATAAGCTTTAGCTCATTAAAAAGATACAACTCGCCTTCCTGCACATTACATATTTTTAACAAACTAAGTCTTATCTATTGTATCTCAAACACAAAATGAAGTGTCACTGGGAATGCAACACAGGATTTTAAATGTCAAATGGACACTAGCCTAACGACAGACGAAAACCGAAAATATAAAACTACAGGTCATTACGTGATCTTTCACGAAAAATAAGTCTTCACAAATAATGCAAGTAATAAATTCGCCATGTATAAACAAATTCAATGGAGACAGCTAAACATGTGACATCAATCTCAAATTTCATTAGACTAAATACAATTACTGACATGGGACAAGACTAGATAAAAAACATTAATTATCATTTTTAACAGGTCACAAAGCTGTAATAAGGTAAAAATGAAGCCAACCATAACAAGTTTAATATGTTTAACTTCCCTTTATATATTAACTTTCTTATGTTAAATAACTGTTGGCAATGAAGGAGCAAACTATCCTTTCAAATGACATAAATTAGGTGTCGAGTATATAAACCAAATATCGCCCATTATCTGAAGATTTGATTAACCATCCAAAAACAAGAATACATGTACCATCTGATTATCTAAGAAATCTGTAAATTGGGAAGAACACTGTTACGCAGTGAGCTTAAGGAGATGGTAAAGTTTGGAACCAGGTCAAATATATAGTTATTCGGTACGATGCCTTTACAATGAGACAACAATTGTGAATAATGCAACAGAAAAATTTCAAACTTAGTAGGTGTAACAAAATTCAAATTATTGCAGTCATACCCTGACTGATAACAAAACAATATCTGACAATACATAGCTCAACATAACTTATTATCTGTACAAAGTATCAAATATTTCTAACTGCCTGATGTTAAAAAAATTCCATGATCAGTGGGAACATCATGAGGCTTCTAAGTGGCTGAATTGCTCACCTGTTTAAAAACATATCTACTGTAAGCTCAGAAATTATTGAGGGTTTAATGCAAATAATGCTCCTGGGTAAGTATCGTAATAAGAACTCAAATTCTGATTTCTGATTAAAATATATCTGTATGCAACTTTTCATAAAATCACAGTAATACATGCTCCCAATAATATTTGAATTGACAGTACTTAAAGGTTTGAGATGATAGGAAAAAAACTAGAAAATAAGTTTTAAAATAGTCAATTAAGGCCGAAAATTTCATACAATGATTTTCAGGTACACCATGGATGATAGTTGCCAAATGATGAGAAAAGTTCATATAGCCATTTTGGTATAGTTCGACCTAAATTTGATTCACAGAACACCACCAAACCATGCCCTTTCTTTAGATCATTTTCGTTTTTACATTCCTCGGCTAATGTATTGGCCCACTCACTTTGACAGCCATACGGGTAACATGTCACTTTTGGGTCCGATTTTAGTTACGGATTCTATACCTGTTATAGATTGTGATACAATACCTATTGATAGACACGTGAGTGATCACAACGGAACTTATATAAGCTTAGACTGTGGCTTTAATCAAAAGAGATCATGCCAACGTTCTGTGTGGAACTATAAAAGGGGGGGTTACATACTTATGCAACAAAAAATTATAGAAACAAACTGGTATAGACTTATAGTTGAGACTGAAGATGTTAATAAAGCGTGTTCTAATTTTACAACTCCATTTTTAGATATTGCAAAAGAATGTATTCCTAGAAGCGAGGTAACCATTCGTAGTGACGACGAAGTCGATCTGGTATGATACCAATTTACGTCGTGAATCGCGAAAACGGGACAGATTACGAAATTTAAGGTGTTCTGATGGACCAAAACGGAAACTGCGGAAATCAGATTTAAGAATCAACGGAATAGAGTAAATAATATAAAGAAACAAGCAGAAAAATAATTTTACGAGAACATTAACGAAAATCTTGATGAGTTAAATTAAACCACTAACAGTAAAATGTATTGGAAAACGATACATATGCTTTTTAAGGACGATCGTTCTACGAATGAGTTACCACCCCTTAGAGACCCTTGCGATAGTTTTAACCTTTCATATGACGTCATTGATAAAGCAGATATTTTAAACAAACATTTCTGTTCGATTTCAACTGTTGGTGATGAAAATATTGATTTACCAGATTTTTCGGAGAGATGTAATATTATTTTATCAGAGATAGTTGTAACAGAACAAGAAGTTTTAGATATAATATCTACTCTAACGCTAACAAAGCTGTTGGTCCAGATATCATCAGTAATAAAATGTTGATTTCAGTGAAGAACGTGATATCAAAGCCTTTGTGTATGTTGTTTAACAAGTCTTTACAAGAGAGAGTTTTCCCAACAAACTGGAAAATGGCACATGTCATTCCTCTGTTCAAAAGTGGAGATAAATCTTTACCATCAAATTATAGACCAGTTTCATTGCTCTCTTGTGTGAGTAAGATACTGGAGAAAATTATTCAAACACATTTTTAATCATTTACAAGCAAAATGTGTTGTTATATAAGTTTCAATCTGGATTTATACCAAGATTTTCTACCACCGATCAGCTGATAGAATTGTATAATACATTTTTACTTGCTTTGGAAGCTAAATTAGTAACCAGTATGACTATTGCTGATATCAGCAAAGCGTTTGATACCGTATGGATTAGGGGTCTTTTGCTTAAGCTTGAAAAATATGGTATCAAGGGTGACCTCTCAAGTTGGCTTGGAAGTTACCTTTCTTATCGTACTCAGAGAGTTATGGTTAAAGATGCGTTATCTAATGCTGGTAAATTGAAAGCAGGTGTGCCTCAGGGATCTGTTTTAGGGCCTATATTATTTCTTATTTTTAAAAACGATATCACAGATGATATTATAGGTTTTGGACGATTATTTGCTGATGACACATCGATAGGTCATGTAGCGTCAAACGGAATTTCTTTGCAGAACAATATTGACTCTGATTTGACTCATTTGAAGGAATGGTCTGATAGATGGATGATAAAATTTAATCCAAATAAAACTGACATTATGGTGTTTAATGCCAGGGGCACTGGTTGTAATTTGTCGTTTGAATTTGACCAAACAACACTTCATCCAGTAAATCTTTGGGAGTTGTGTTTAGTAGCGACTAAACATATTGATAAATTAATAGAATCAGTTTCAAAACAACTGAATGTACTTAGGAAACTAAAATATAAATTAAAGAGGAATTATCTAGAAAATATTTACCTTACGTTTATACTGATATTTTATTATATGGTAACGAACTCCTTACCACCGAAATAAATACTGCAATTTTTTTGAATGTTCATACATATATAAAAGATACTGGACTTTTTCCTTCGCATAACAAACCATTGTAATTGTAATGATAATAAGTACACATACTTATCGCATGGTCATATCTGCCACCTTTGTTTAGCGAAATAAACTTTGCGAGTCGATAAAATAAGGGCAAACTTTGTAGCCTAAGTACTTTTATAATAGCTATTAAACACAAAGATTGTATTTACAGTCTAGAACTATGTGTATAAATCCATTTTTCAAAACTCATATCGTAGTAGATTAACCTTCTATTCCATGCACAACGATACACTATTTTATGCGTTATGTATGGTATATATATATATATATATATATACGTGTTAAATGTACTAAGTAGAACACCAAATGATCAAAAGGTGCGTTTGATTAGTTGTGTAAAATCATCAACTCGTAAAGTTTTATATACCTAAACCAATTTCCACTTCATTTTCAACGTCTTCATACGTTATAAAAACGTATATGTATATATATATATATATATATATTGTATATTTCTTATAATGTTCATTTATTTGTAAATTGTGTATGTACTTGAGAAGACATTATTAAGTTGTAAAACTTGTGTCTCATCCATTTGTTTAGTTTCTGAACAATAAAATATGTTTAAACTAATGTATTGGCATTACAATTCAATAACACAAAAATACACCATCTCTGTGAAATAATTTATACAGCACTAATTGTTTATAGATTAAGTTTAACAATAAACGATTACTTCTCTCCATGAACAATTTTTTTACTACTCATGATTCAGTGTTTTCCGTAGAGGCACGGCGGGACCTCCTTGCATTTATGTTAATCATGATTTAAAAACCTATAAAATATTTAAAGTGCTATATTCATTAAGATTTTAATACGGTTCAAAAACAAAAAATGTAGGTTCATTCACAGTATTGAATTCTATTCTGTCTAATATTTTTTACTTTGTTTCTTAAAAAAACCCAACAGTTTAGACATTGGTAGTATGGTACTATTTGTGTTTACAGTACCTAAATAGAACTATCATTTGAACACTATTTTTCTAGTAATATACATGTTAAAGTAGTAGAACACAATCATTCAGATGTTTGAAAAGGAGAGGCTTGAAGGATGTATAATGAAAACCTATATAACAATTATGACACTGCAAATATGACTTGGGTTTTTGATTATTTTGGTTGAAAAAATTATATGCTAAAAAAAGACGGAATATCTTCTTCCATTTCCATTTCTCTTTTCTTTCTAATATCTTTGTCATATCTTTTAATTTCTTCTATTTCTATAATATCAGGAAATTAGGGAAATAAAAGACACCAATAATTCAAATTGTGAATTTTACAAAACAAACTCGAGTTTAAAGTACGACCATAATATTTTTATTTCTATTGATGCTATTATTTTAACAATCAAACATTTAAAGCAAATAGAAACAATACCATTTTGAACATTAGACAAATGTTAATAAAAGCCCTTATATAATTTGCAGTAATCCTTGTGATCAAAGTAAAACTACTGATATTGAGGAGTTAACATTCTTTTGATAAATGCTTACATTCCATGCAGTTTGCATTAACATTACCTTAATACCATTAGGTTAGCAGAAAACATATCATAACGTAAGTCTTGAAACAATAAAATAATTTAACAGTTACACATATTCCTATGTCATTCGTATAAGAATTACATTAATTAATCATTACATTAAACAGAACTTGCATTTCACATATGATTTCAGAATTACATAAAGCTACATAACAAACAAAGTCATTGTTTATCATAGTCCTCATTGACTGGAGTCACCATGAGCATGTGGAAATGTTATCTCATGTGGGAAAGTCGCTAGGTCTCTTTCTGAAATTTCTGATTCCTGTGCTAACTGGCGTCCCTGAGAAAAATTAAATATTAATACAAATTAATACAATTAAAAAGAAAATAAGGATATCAAAAAGATTGACACAAATTTGTATACAAAAATTGTGTAACCCTTGGGCATGGGATGACCTGATATGTTGTGGTTTTTTAAATATTTTTATTGGTGTTTTTTTCTAATGAGGGTGGGTGGGGGAGAGGGTAATGGTGTGGATTCAGGATATTTATTTCTCACTTTAATAACAATGTACAGATCAGCAATTCAGATGCACACAATTCTTTTTATTTCTAGTTCTGCCATTTTAACCTATAGAGTAAAACATCAGAAATGTGTTTTGCTATCACTTTGGGATTTCCATTAAATTTTATCGAGTACAAAATATAGGAATACACAAAAATTGACATGTTTTCCTTCTAAGCCTACATTTGTAATTCAAAGTATCAAAAAGCAGTAAGTAGTCGTCTGATAGATAGTTTTTAACAAAAATATTTGTTTTCATTCACATTTAAAAAAAAAACAAAAATATTCTCAAACAGGAAGAAGGTTCTTTCCCTTACCGAAAAATAAGCCCTGCGGCAAACATTTGCCGCAAGCTTGCAGCAAACATTTTACCATGCAAATGAAGGTTGCGGCAAGCTTGCTGCAAACATAATTATGCAAATTAGATTTGCCGCAAGCTTGCGGCAATTGTTTGTTGCAAACTTGCGGCAAACTTGCAGGAAATACACTTAAACCAATGTCATTTGTGTAGAAACATTCAATTTATCTCATTCAAATTACACAGCAACATTTTTTAAAAGGAATTCCTGCCTGTATACAAACAGTCATTGAAAGAATTCTTGCAAATTTGAAGATTTAAGGAAATACATACATCCATTTGAGTTTTGAAAAAGGGGGCAGAGGTCATTCTCAAATGACATCATATACCACCTGTATTAAGAAATGAAAAAGGATAAATCTCAAATGTTAGGTAATAATTGCATTACATAATTGAACTTAATTTTAATAAACATGGTACAGTACATCAGTTACAAAATTCAAACTTATAATAGCTAAAGTTTTTCAAACACACATATATAGTTGCTGTAACTTAATTATGTATGATGTGACATTAATTATTTTATTAAAACATGCAGTTCTATGAATTATTTTTACTTACAAAATTACATATTGAATATCCTATGTTATTAAACCAAAATGCCTCCTTGATCTCTTTTATGTGAAATGCATTTCAAAATGTTAGGTAATAATTGCATTACATAATTGAACTTAATTTTAATAAACATGGTACAGTACATCAGTTACAAAATTCAAACTTATAATAGCTAAAGTTTTTCAAACACACATATATAGTTGCTGTAACTTAATTATGTATGATGTGACATTAATTATTTTATTAAAACATGCAGTTCTATGAATTATTTTTACTTACAAAATTACATATTGAATATCCTATGTTATTAAACCAAAATGCCTCCTTGATCTCTTTTATGTGAAATGCATTTTCCAAACACAATCAACATGACCTAGCCACAATTTCAAATTGTTAGCTTCCAGGGAGTGCCAACTAGGCATGCCCAGTCAATATTTTGTAATTCTGGCAATGTTCTGGCAAACATATAGAATGGTCGAAGTTTTCTGCAATTTTGCGGCAAACATTCTTTAATATCCTAACTTTCTGGCAATCTTACGGCAAACATTGATGTTTCTGCAAACTTGCCGCAAGCTTGCAGCAAAAAGCTGCAATGTTTGCCGGAAGTTTGCAGCTAGCAGCAAACATCTGCAAACACTATTTTCTATGTTCCTGCATACTTTTTGTTTGCGGCAAGCTTGCAGCAAGTCTGCTGCAAGTTTGCGGCAAACAATTCATAAGGGTTGACAGATCCTCAAAGTGTGCAAAATATATATATCATCACTGTCAAACTGCTCACTGGGTCGATGCCACTGCTGGTAGAGATTTTATTCCCCGAGAGTATCACCAGCCCAGTAGCCAGCACTTCTGAGTTGACATGGACGTCATAATTACAAAACTTTGAATTTTTGAAATACTAAGGCTTTTCTACCCCAGGAATAGATTACTTAAGCTGTATTTGACAAAACGTTTTGGAATTTTCGGTCCTCAATGCTCTTCAACTTCGTACTTTATTTGGCCTTTTTAACATTTTTTTGATTGGAGCGTCACTGATGAGTCTTTTGTAGACGAAACGCGCGTCTGGCGCCGCAGGGGCATAGCTACCTTCTTAACGAAGTGGAATCACAAACTAAAGGGCGAGGGGTTTGGGGACCGCCTAAGACCCCCCAGTGGGTATGGGGACCAGGGGGCGAAGCCCTCCCCCATAAGCTCTGCATATATAGCGTTTCAAAACAATCACAACCGTAATAAAACTTGTACAATTTTGTTGTGGTTTTTTGGACAACTATTTGTTTAACTTCGAGTCGAATGAAGACTAAACATTGTTGTTTGCGCTTTTTCACGGTACGCCGTGAGAGCTTTTAAAATAACTGAAATTTGTTCCATATGCTAGTATTTGTATTGAGCAAAGTAGATGTATAAAAACAAACAGTAAACATAAACACAATACTGTATGTGAAGTTTCTGTAAGCATAAACATATTAAAACAATCAATCTTTTGAATTTCAAACTTGAAGTATATCAATTCTGGTCAGAAAAAAAGGAACAACAAACGAAGTTTCTTCCTAACAGCAAATGCGTCAATAACTTTCTCAATGGCAATTTATCAATGTTTACGGATAGACAAATAAAAATGTCTAGACAGAAAAATACATATGTCCATTGTCCATGAAGGAATGACATTTTTAATACTGTAAAAATGACATATGAGAAGCTTCACCGTCTTCATACAAAACTTCAACATTATTTTGCTATATTTTTTGTTTTTGTTTTGTTTGTTTTGTTTTGTTTTGTTTTTTTTTTGGGGGGGGGGGGGGGGGGGGGCTTTTTATAGAGTTTTGAATACCAAGGGGATTCTGTAGGAGCTGATTGTTGTATTGTCAATGTATGAGGCATAATACTTAAGCCTGTCAACCAATGAGCTGAGTCTTTTTTTACTAAACACAAAATCGACAACTGTGAGCAATTGCTTACTAGTTACGACTAGGAAACCCTACATTACAAAGTGGTATCAGTTGGTAGATAAGAAATAGGGAGGGAACTGACAGGTAAAAAAAAATCATGAAGCTTGTTACTAAATATAAGATTTCTGCCAGAAATAGTTCCTGAGAAAATCCTACGAAAACTTCCATGTATGACGAAAATAAAAAGGTCGGGAAACAGTAAGTAGGAAACTGTGGAATATTTTGCTGTGATGAATAGTTGCCGAGAAAAAGTTTGTTACAGACGGACGCACCGACAGAGATACACATTAACCAATATACCGCGTACTCCGTTAGGCAAAGAACGGGAGGAAAAAAAAGGAAAAAATGTTATTTACTATTAGTGCATTATGTGGGAACCAAACCAGCCGTTTTTACAGGTGGTGGCCTCAGATTGCACGACTAATCTATTAATGTAGAAATTACATTCTGTATCTATTGTTCGATTTCTTTATAATTGCCTGTACCAACTCATGGTCCAGTCTCCGAACGTTAAACAAACATCCCGTTCCATAATAGAAAATAGATGTCATCACGTTAATACCCCTCCCACTCTGTCCGATTGACCAATTCCTATATGTTCACTTTGTCCGTCTCTCTTTCTCTGTTTTTTTTATTATTATTTAAACGATGTGGATGCACGTGCTGTCGTGCCTCCGGGTAGCTACGACCCATGGGCCGCGCAAATATCAAATTTCAATCCTGGTATCTATGATGAGTTTATTTACTAAATAAGAAGGAATTCTGTTTAGGAGAACCTACATACCTATTCAGGACCGATAACTCTGACGATAAATATTGGCGGTTGAAATGTATGCAATTTCATCTTTTTGTACACAAGTTAAAATTTCAATATCGATTTCTTTTAATGCCTTGATTTTGCTTAAAATATTGAGTTAAAAAAATAAATGACAAAAATCATATGCAATGAAATTTCGTTAAATTTTCTATGAGATACAAAAATCTATGAAATATAAAATTTGAATTAGAGTATTTTTCTAAAACAAATATCGTGGAAGATTAATACTTGATTATTTTTGTAAGCAAATATCAACTTATCGGAGAATTTTTCATAATATTCATCTTTTCTTAAAGTTCTTTATGATATATATTTCATTGGTTGTGTACACAGGCAAGAGAAAATATTTATTTGTACATTTCAGAACTTTTGGATCTATGAGTTTGACTGTCCCTCTGGTATCTTTCGCCCCTCTTTTGTATATCACAAAATCTTAACTCCGGAAATACACGTGTACACAGGATGTTAATGTCACCTTGCGGCTTTTGGTTTGACACGATTCCTTTGCATTACTTGGCAATACACCTTTCCACTCTCCTGTCAATCATCAGTAAATTGACCCATGTGTAAACATTTGATAGCAGCATGTGTTGTCGGCCATAACCTCGGTCAAACTTTCTTATCTAAACAGTTAATTTGATCTAACATTTCTTAAAATTATCACAATTAAATAGTCCAGAATATTGTTTTGGGGAAAGGAATCAATGTAAGAGGGTACAGGAAGGTCAAGTTGTCAACTTGAAACCAAAATAAAGTGTTTTTTTTTAATGAATTACAGTTATAAATGAATCATTTAAAAAGGAATATGATAGCAGTGTTTATTGTTTTTAAACTATTGTGTACATGCTATTTTGAAAAATGAAAACAAAACCAACATATTCTTAAGCAGGAGATTTGAATTGTTGTACAAATTGAGTTGAAATTGATATATTTTCATTATTAAAGAAAAATGTATACTATAAAACCAGCAAGTTATAATTTCTGGAAATTACAACTATATATCACATAGTAAATATTCTTTCCCGTTTCAATTACAAAGAATTATCCCTTACGTATTCAAATGTTAAAAATCAGTTTAAAATGAAAACTTCGGGGTATCTAC